TAAGTCGATAAATCAGAATCCAACAGACAGAATTTAAAAAACTTAGTTAAATTTGTAGTAATTTCTAAACATCCTAGAGTTTCATCGAATAAATACTTACCATTACTTACAATAGTTCAATAAATCTAAGATATTTATCTCCATACAAATAGTCAATAATAAACAGCTTATGTGTCAAAGTAAAATGTTTACTTTTTAGATTACTGAACACTGATAGTGTTAGCTGAGTGAATTTAACTTTAAATTAAGATACTTTGTTTGTCGATGTGTTTTTGTTTCATTCTACTAGCCCTTAGTATCAAACAGAATCGATCACAGTACAGCAAACGTTTCACTTATCCATAATTTAGGTTAATGTATAAAATGTCGTGAAAGTGGAACCAAATTTAAAATAAATGATTTCTTCTCATGAATTTTTAAAGTCTTCTCTTGGTTTTATTCAAGTATATATTAAGAGAAAAGAGGAAAATTCAGGCCCGTTAGTGAAGGATTTACATTTATCGTCATGAGTGTTATTTCAAACGATATTAAGGTAGTTCGGACACTTTCACTAATAGATAGTTATTTATTTTGCCTTAACAGACCACAGATCCAGAGTTTCAGTTAATAGACTCCTAAGGAGAACAGAGACATGCTGTAGTAAGCTAGACATACTGGAATATTATTGAGGAGATTCTAACAAAGACAACAGGCCAAAAAAGGTTCTAGACTCAAATACAGAAATGCTATGATTGTTTGGTGTAGTAGATAGTATTGAAGTTCATATAGACAAATCTAATAGCACAGAGTACCATCTGAAAGGTCTCCTCAGCATATCCGACAAATTAATCATTTCCATATGATTTTTCAGTTTTATCTTCATAAACATTGAGATTTAATAGTAAAATGACTCAATTTCTTATTCACTAATGATCAAAATCAATCATAATGTCAACTCATATGTTTACATATGTACATATATATTTTTGCCTGATGGCCACTATTGAATTCAAGTATTTATTATTCCCAATTGGCTGTTTCATTGCATATTTCAAGATCGACTAAATTCCATTATAAATTCCAAGTTGCTCGACTTTAAATAATGGACTTTCTTAGAAAAACTAGTACTAAACAAATATCAATATGAGAAGTTTATCGAATGGAAATTCTCACCATGATAAAACATGAAAGCAACTAAATTTAAACTTTTATAACACAAAGCCATGCGATTAGTTAGTAAATTTATCAACAACATAGAGTTAGTGATTGTTGGAAAGAACTTCAAAACTAGCATGTGTCAAAATACTAATTTTGTTGAACATAAAGTACTGAGAACAATATGTATGTTAAAACAAAGTAAATTTAGGGATAATAATGAATCGTCTAAATTAACGTTTAAATAGAATCTATCATAAGTAAAAAAAAATTCAGGTTCTGGTTCAAATTGATGAATAGAACAATCACTGACTAGTTAGGTGTTTCAGAAAATCTGTTTCTTATTTATGCAAAAAAAATATGTTACTTATTTCAAGTTTAAAACATTTACGATGTTTTATTGTCATCATGTTTTCTATTAGTTCATTTAGTACGAGTCTAAATGCTGAAACAAAGGTGTGGTTATGATTTTCAGTTTTGAAAAGATCAGTTTTTATTATTCTTTCAGTAATAAAGGGAGAAGCATTACGAAAGATATTTAGAATTTTTAATACTGGTTCGTAACTGATGGTGTGGTGTGTGCTACTGATGTCGATAGATATAAGTAGTATATATCATAAATCAAATGTGAAATACCTGGAGGCGGAAGGTTAAGAAAATCAAAGTAAAGACAACCAGAACAAAATGTGGTTGGTGCAGAAACGAAGGAACATTGAAGTATGAGACGATTGACTGACATTTTGCAAATGAATTATTTACTGTATAGTTCTCAAATTTTAGTAAGATATTGTGTCATTTTGTATTTAGATACGTTAGATTTTTTCCATCCGTGTTGTTGCTCACTACAATGGGAGCTTGGTTAAAGCAGTTTATATCCACCTTTGTTATTTAAAGGAAAAGATATGGAATCTAACCCTTGTTTGGTCATGTTGATTCTTTTACTTTTTTGATTTGTTTCTCATAAAGATAAGGGTTTCTAACATAGTATGTATAAAACTTCGATAGTCTTATTCTTTATTAAATATTATGGTGACACATAAGTAAACGTGTTTGACAGAGTAACTAAGTATACTACATTAATTATTTTACATATGCATAAATGCATTCTGAATAAGAAGTATTCAGAATACACTGATATGGAGGATGTTAATGTGCATAGATTTATTTAATATCATAGTATTGACAATATAAATCATTTCACAAAATACATTTTATCAACTTGTGATATAACCAGAAGGGGTTTTGTGGAGATTCCAATATTTTTCAAAGTTGAAATCATGAGTCAATTGAAGCTAGACCACCATCGAAAACCTGGAAGCACTGGATGGCCGTTTCGTCCTATTATAGGACTCCGCAGCAGTGCGCGAGAGTGGGTTCGTGGTTTGCGCACTGCGACGAAACGGCCATCCAGTGCTTCCAGGTTTTCGATGGTGGTCTAGCTTCAATTGACTCATGATTTCAACTTTGAAAAACTTGTGATATTGTTTATCTCTTCTTTCATTTCATACAAGAATATTTGAGATGAGTCAGAAACACTTACGAGCTCTGAAACACATTAAATTTATGATGTTCCGAACAGAATTATAAAACTACTATTAAATTTAATAAATTATCACTTTTCAAATTCTAAATTGTTTTTGTTTAATCATTGGAAAGTACATAAATTAATGAAATGATTCCACTAATTAAGAAAACGTCAGTAATTTAATTAAATTTCATCTTTTGTTAGTAAATCCGAATTCATATTTCTTAGATCAATTAACTTGAGATGACAGGAATAAACTATATCCTAAGATCCTATAAGTTTTCCGAACCCCAAACATGCAGAAGGTTAAAATATTTCAAAAATAATTTTACGGAATCTAATAAATTAAAACATATTACATTGCATTCTCTACACAACTTTACATTTTCAGGTAATTACTTTGGTCCATGGGTTCGAATCTCACGACGCGATATCGTGAATGTGCACTGCCGAGCAGTCCCACAATAGGACGAAATTGCTGTCTAGTGCTTTCAGGTTTTTAAATGGTGGTCTAGCTTCAATTGATTCATGATCTCAATTATTAATATTATCTTATATTTATCAAGATTCTTGGATTGATCTCTTATAAAATAGTCTCATTAACAAAACTGATACTCAACGTACTTTATAGAGAAATTTACATCAATTAATTCTAAAAAAGTGCAATTTTTAAAAGACAAGAATATTTTGCTTACTTTGAATCAATAAACATAGATATAGTGATTCTTTTCCTGAAGAATACCTAGCAAAAAATAAATTCTCTAGTTTAATATAGTGAAACAATTCAAATTATTTAACTGTTACAGACTCAATTACTAATTCAATGAATAAACCTACAATATTTAAAAGGATGAGTTTGATGTTGAAGTATATTGTTATATTCTACTTATAAGTAGATACTGAAGGTTCACTTATTAGCATAACTATCAGACCATTATTACTGTACGATCATTGGACTAGATTATAAAACTAAGTATTTGATCAGATAAGCTGTTGCTTATTTGTGTTTTAAGAAAGTTAGATGATATTTTTTGTTGAAAAAAACCCACTCTGAATCACATGTGTGAATATTAAAATGATTTATGGTAATTTCACTTCAGATAACTTCACAGTTACTTTTGTGCCCAATTTCCTTTGAATTACTTAAAATTTTTGCTTTAGTAACGAAAGATGGATAGTGGCTAGCATTGGAATCAAGGACGCGCGTTTCCTCCTATTCGGGACTCGTCAGCTGGATGTACCTGCATCTCAGATTTGATGTTCACTCTGAAACTCGAACCCAGTACCGTTAGCTTCAAACACAATCGCGTTATACACATAGCTAATGAATCCTAATAACCACTTGCTTGTGCAATGGGGTGAAGTCTAAATTCACTTGGTATAATGTTTGTGAATTAAGGCTATATCGAGACAATACGCACAGTATGCATATATGCCAATTAGAGACTGATCGATTGCAGTCCTAAACATCAATGGGAAGATTCAAGCCAACAATACCCAATGAATTTAGCTCTAGTATTATGCAATCGTCAAAAAAATCAAACAAGCAAAAAAACCCAAACACGTTTCCTTCTTAGAATTGTTATTTGAATCCGTCCTACTAAATTGATTTTTTTTCTTCTTTACAAGTAAAGAAGGTTGGGAATGAAAAGTTTTTGCAATTTGTGATATTTATTTACTTGAATTAAATAAATGTTAGGTAAAGCATTCCAAATCGTATATCTACACAAAAACACCTAACTTTCTGTTCTAAACCGAATCATTATGATAAAGTGTGCCCATAATGAAAAGAAGGTTAAAGGATAGAAAATTGAAGCAACTGTGTATTCGTTACTTATATTCTATTGGATAAACTATGAAAAAGGAAGAGTAATTTTTTATTTCTAACACAAATATGAGATAAATCGATTGGAAGGCTAAACAGTGAAAATACAGATAGATATACACATGTTGTATATATATCAACCTTACGTCAGATTGATGTTGAAGGGAAGTAGTGGGAAATTATTATAGAAATTTAGATTGGTTTGCTTTTAGTGTCCTTATCTTAATCGATAAATTTATTGAAATGTAACCATGTGCATTTAACCAATACGCCTACATAATCACTGAAATTAACACCAACAACTTGATATTTTATCTTATTAACACATTTCGTACGTAAACAAACACAAATTAACTTCACCTTTTCTCTGTTAGTAAGAGACAAATAGAAATTTTCCACTTATAAATAATATATTCTCATATTCTGATATTCCTAAAGGATTTTTAATAATAATTACCCTTTTCCTAATTACAGCTTCTCTACACGTACTATACCCAATTCTAACATTACAACAAAATGAGTGACGAAGAAAGCCAACAAAGGTGAGTTTCATATTGTCCATGATTATCAAGACTTTGGCTATATATTGTATATTTAAAAAAAAAGAATTTTTGAACTGATGATTTTACTGTACAATAGAGCTGTAGATATATACATAGTATGATATATGTATTCTGCTAAATAAAAGGCTGGTTTAAGCATTGAATAATGGAACCCTTTCATTCACATTTCCGCTAACTTGTTTCTTTTAAACTATGTGAACTTTTCAAATTCTATTCAATTATTACGTAACCCATCCTATTTGTTTTTTATTCCATGAATCCTTTATTACCTCAAAAATTATCACACAATTTATCTTATCTATCTCTGAACTCCACTCAACTATTACAACACCCACCCTTTATGTTTCCTTGATTCTAACACCTAATAACCTCTCATCTTTTCTTGCATATATATATATATATATATATATATATATATATATATTATATAGTTATCGTTGATAATCTTTGTCATTCCAATCCTTTACATTAAATTATGTCAATGGTTCCCCACTATTTATGATCTCAATGCTAAAATTCTATTACATATTTGGTTGTAAGCAGCTGATGAGAAACCACAAAATATAATGAATTCATATTATTCTACATTAATATTTGTTCTGGCTTTATTTAATATAAATTTGGTCAGTTGATCATAAACAATAGTTTAGCATTATTATTAACATGTTACCATAGTAACAAAATAACTGTTCATGAAAGCAGCTAACCGAAAGAATGTAAGTAAATAAACAAACTTAGGATACGGTTCATCTTTAGTTGAACTCTGTAAAATAAATTTTCGATTAAGAAATCGACAATTTACAACCATTGAGTGGTTGGAGGTATATGATAAGAACATTTGAACTGACGTTTCATGTGAGCTGTCATTCATCACATATATACACATAAGAATCTAATTTAATCAATTAACTCTCCATGTAACAAAAAATAGGCTGCTTAAATATTCTGTTTATAACAATTATGCTCTTGATTATTGAATAGTATGATCTATAACCTTCTTCATTGATTCGCTTATCATAATGCATGTATATTGCCATGAAAATTTCCAATCTATACAGGCATAAGATAAAACAAACTTTTAAGATTTAATAGTAAGACGAATAAACAGAATTCAGTGTGTAAATCCATCTATACTTAATGTCAGTCAGTCACAACGTAGAACTTCGTAAGTACGTACATCAGTTCGAGTTACCATACCACATTAGCACAGAGATGCAGTTGTAGATTGATTAATACAAAACGTAATGAGTTAAATGAAGATGTAAATATTTAATTCTTTTTTACCGATTACGGAAATCAGGCATTAACCATTAAAACTATGCCTGTTCAGATCGGAATTAAAATTTTTTACGTAAATGCTTTTTCATTGTCAAATAAAAATGAACAAAATCGAATTCAATAAATATGAACATTCTTGTTAGAATATGTTGTGGTGTATATTACTTATGTCTGTCTACATAAGTAGTATGTAACACCGATCAGTAGTGGAATGTCTGACAGAAGAAGGTTAAGAAAATCAAAATAAAGAGAACAGTTATGTGACCAAAGAGTAATTGTAATAACAAAGTGAATGAAGGAATGATGAAGTTTATAAGAGACAATTGATGGAAGATGTGCAAATGAAGTATGATTTTCGTATTCCATGAAACCATTCTGTAGTTTTGTATTAACCAATAAATTGGTATTCGTTCATCATAATGTGAAAAATGATTAATTGGCTTTCACTGAGAATTCAAATTTTAAATTTGAACTATTTTACCTACTTCTATAAGTATTCATTTCGTATTCATTTAAAGGAAGGCTTCAAATGAATACCATAGTTTGAGTGTTATTTGATAGGTAATGTATAGTCGATAATCGTTCACGTTTAACAGTAGTAGTGATGGTTGTAGATAAATTCGTTGTGATCAAGTTTACATTTAATGACTAAAGTTTTCTAGAAAATTAGAAATAGCGATCATTTATAAAACGAATTCCATGGTAGCCAAGGGTGGTCAATGTTTATTTTTTGTTGGGAAGTTTTTTTTAACTTACTGTATCTTAAAATGAAATTATATAATGAGGATCACAAATTAAGCTGATTTTGTGGTAATATTTTTGAGCATTTGTGAGATAAGTTTCTGCACGAATAGATGTCACTTGAAGGATAATTAAGAAAAATCCAGAAACCACTGCATAACTCTTTCATCCTATTGCAAAGCTTTTCAGCTATGCGTCGTTTTCGTATCCATTACAGCCAAACCCTTTTTATTCGGGTTATATGCCTAAAAAACATCATTGAAATACCAAGTCGAAAGATAATGATCAATATTTTCAGTTTCAGTCGATGTTTAACATAACATGAATTTAGTCAAGTTTGTCCTATGAGTTATTCTACTTTGTTGAACCTAATAATAGTGATTTGTTTTTAATAATGGTAAAAATAGTAAAGTGTGCAAACAAAATACTGTAATCTTGAAAGTCAACGAAATGCTGAGTGTTGCATTGCATGATAATGCATTATAGATTGACTGAATTTGGACATATGATCCATTGCATCATATCTTAATGCTCTAAATGTCATTAAACATCCACGAGATTTGAAGATCTTATCTTTGACATCATCTACAGTTGCAGGTAATCATACTTGAAGAACTTCAGGCTAGGGTAACACAAACTTTAGTACACCTCGGTTAATTAATATTTTTTTATTAATTTGTTTATTCATTCATGATAAAAGATAAAAGGCATACAAAATATAACACGGGATTTAATAACTACAGATTACATAAATATATAGGTTAGAAAGCAGAAAAATGACGTTTGCTTATATGAATATCTTTAGTCGTTTTATAAATAAGAAATAATTTCTTGGATTTGTATTCTGTTTTATTGTTTCAGTTCATCGGAAGAAGTAAGTTAATTATTGCTTTCCTTATTTCATGTTTTGTAATAAAATCCTGTATACACATTCTGGTACAGAGTTAATAGTTGATTTTATATAGGCTTATTACTTTGACAGATAGAAATTTGAATTTAATCAGTTATCAATTAACTAGGGTTATTAACTTATTTGCCGTGCTTTATAACATTCACTGAAATTTCACTTACATTCCTTATACTACGTAGAAATATTTAAGTAGTATTATTAACGCTTACAAAAACGTTTGATCAAATAAATAACATTCAGGTCACAAGTTATCGTGGAAAAGCGACTTATTTACGGAGCAACACTGTACGACAATGAAAGTGTATTGAATAATCACTATACTAGTTAACCATTCCATATGTTTCATTGAAATAATAACATTATTTCATTTATTTCAAGTTTAATAATAATAATTTTTTGTGCTTTTTAATGATAACTTTTATTTATCCCTGTTTTTGTTGTATGATTCAATGTGATTTCATAATGATCTGATATAATTCAACACAATATGACTATTATAGTCTGAGGAAGAGTCTGAAGAGGTGGGCATCAAAATTGAAAAACACACATATACACATTAACGCATATACTATAATGCATAGATGTATTTTTTGTTACTATGTATATCCTATTCGAAGTAAACTGTATTAGATTATTTAGTGCACTATCTTGGAATTGAGATATATGTATATATATATATTAATCATAACTATCTAGATATGACTATAGACGTTTCTTATTAATTTATTTCATTTGATGTAATTGCATGTTATTTAAAGTGTTTCTTTATTTTAACTTGACTCAATTATATTTTATTTATGTAGACCTCTTTAATCATGAATGATGTTTGTCTTTTGTTTAGTAGTAAAGTTATATAACAACATAACAAGTTAATGAAAATAATTGTCATGAATAGCAAGCTTTTAATTTTCTATCATAATACAGAGGTATTCTAAATCAATTCGTAGGCAAAGTTTACTTCTCCTTTTCTTTTCTTGTACACATATGACATCGAATTAATTAAAACCATTAAAAATTTATTTATATATGCATTAATGAACCTAAACACTTATCTATTAGTCGAATCACTGTTGTAAAGATAACTTAATACGTAAGTTGATGTAAGTAACACTAATAGCTCATAGACAGTACAAATAGATAACAACTAGATAGATGTCGGCTCAGTGATTTAGTGGTTAAATGCTCACGCGCGAGACTGTTAGGTCTTGGGTTCGAATCTTGAGAGGCGTTATCGTGGATGCGCACCGCTGAGCAGTCCCACAATAGGACGAAACGAACGTCAAACAGTGCTTCCAGGTTTTTCATGGTGGTCTAGCTTCAATTGCCTCATGATCTCAACTACATATAAAACTAATTATTGGTTAGGAATATTTGTCTGATGTAATTTATCAATATAAGAAATATGAAACCTTACCAATGAATGTATTCACATTTTTAAGATATTTAAAACTGTATTTATTGTTCTTAAGCAGAGATGGATGGTGGCTAGTATTGAAATCCAGGACGTAGGTTTCACCCTATTAAGAACTCGTTAGCTGGATGTACCTGCATCTCAGAGTTGGTGTTCACTCTGAGACTCGAACACAGTATCGTTCACTTCAAACACCATTGCGTTATCCACTTAGCAACTGAGTCCTAATAGTCACTAGCTTATGCAATGAGATGAAGTATAAGTTCATTTTGTATTGTTTATTTGAAACTCCTCATTGATGTTTAGGACTGCAATTGATCAGTCTCTTATTAGCATATATGCATCCTGTGCGGATTGACTCGATACTGCCTTAATTCACAAGCTTTCTAAACAAAAATGGATTGATTGCAGTCTTAAACAACAATAGGAAGACACAAGCAAACAACACAAAATGAGTTTTTATTTATAGTTTGTTATAATTCTTTCTCATCATAGTCCCTAGTAATTAAAAAGTTATAGTGTAAAAAACACCTCGTGACATCAGTAATCGACAATTCTATTATTTCAAACTATGACTTAGTGATGAAAGCTCTGTATTTCCACTTATCGTGTTAAATATTCAAAGTACATTGCATCGAATTTAGAATGAGTTTTCTGGTAAAAGAATTAGTTTTTACTTAACTAGTTTTACCTAAACCTTAATTATATATCTAATTACTTGGTTATAATGAAATACACAATACTAGTCTAGAAGAAAATATTATCCATTTATCCAATGAAAAAGTTATATGTACATATTTGTTTCGTATAATTAAAAGGAACTATAATTAGCACGTTTATCACTATGGTGCATGTTCATTTACTATCTTAGATCTGTTTTATTTAGCAAAATAATAATTAATGCAAAATATTTTTATAATTTTTTCGTAAATTTTCACATTAAGTGTAAAGCATGTTTAAATCTGGTGTGTGTGTATGTGCGTGTGTATACTAATGTGCTTATAGATGTTAATATTTAGCTTCGTTATATAATATAATGATGTCGGCACATCTTTATTCATCTATCTATCTATGTATCTATGTGTCTATCTATTTATGTATCTATGTATCTATCTGCCTATATATATATATATATATATATATATATATATATACGTGTGCCAAAATTAGTGTAATAACTATTTACTGAAATGAACTATAATTAATTTATTTCTTTGGTTTTCTACTTTTACAGGAGACTGAGAAGGAAAAAAGGGAAAAGGTATGAGTATATGTTTTTAAAAAAAGAAATGATTGAGGTCATTATATGTTAAAATTATATTTAAAATAATCCAGTCTCCTTTTTGTTTTACATCGTTGAATTTTTCATTTGATCCTCATATAACTGACTTATATGATCCTGTTTACAAAAAATCAACATCCAAATATGATTGGTTCAACGTAGTATAGATTTTGATATGATTGTTATAAAAAAACTTTTTATTTTTTGTGGATGATTTTGATTTTGATTATTACCCTGAAGAAGTCCAAACAAGTTAACTGGACGAAATGTTGGAATTATTTAAATTTCAATCGCTGAAATTATTTCAAATATAATTTTCACCCTATGCCCAACCCTTCTCATTTATCAGGGCTTGGGACTGGCAGCAACCCCCGGAAAGGCTACAGGCGGAGTTGATTATAAACATCTAACTAATTTAACAGTTCTACATTTCGTTATGTGCATAATGAAATGTTTAAGGAAGTGATTAATTGTCTACGGAAGTTAATTTATTCAAATGTAGGGATATGAGTGACTAAATATTATTAATTTCACCTATTCTAGATGTAGAATGTATGCATATATTAATAAAGGTTAAGTAATTGTAAAGTGATTGACTATATAGATTTCTTGGTATAACAATGGTTGAATACGATGAATAATCATTTTTTTAACAATGGAGTATACATTCATTTGTTATGATGCATTCATAAGATATTGGGAAAAAATAACTATAGAAAGTAAGCGATAATCCAGCAAATTTGCTGTTTAATTTAATGTCATCAGAATGACTACATAAGGATTAGATTCTAATGTCTTATACCGTTTCAAGTGTCATTTTAGAGAAAATTTTAAACTTAATATTTGTTTAAATTCACTTGGTATTGTTTGTTTGAATCTTCCCATTGATGTTTAGGACTGCAACTGGTCAGTCTCTTATTGACATATTTGCATACTGTGCATGTTGCCTCGATATAACCTGAATTCACAAGCATTATAAGCAAAGGTGGATAGTGGCTGGCAGTGGAATCCAGGGTCAACATCAACTCTGAGATGCAGGTACATCCATCTGACGAGTCCCAAATAGGACGAAACGCGCATCCTGGATTCCACTGCTACCCGCTATCCATCTTTGTTTAATATTATTTTTTTCATGAAATAAGAAAGTATATATATATATATTCAATATTGTAAGCTATGATAATTATACACGTTTACTTCCAGTATTGCTCCTTTTTATTTCAAAACATAATTGACTTTGTTTCAAGAAGTTACTTGCTTGTTATACCTATCCAGATTTTTAACACTTTTAATTGGTATTATGTTTTTTAAAAATCTTGTAGCCCCCTTTTTTAACAAGTGATGTCAATTTGTTATGATTATTTAATAATCTGTTAAAAGGAAAGACAGATATTAATGAAACAGTTATTAATGATTACATTACATTTTCTTTAATCATAGACAAAATATATACTTGACAACTGAAAGTTTGAGTTTATTAGAGGTAATAAACTCTTATCTCTAATCATTAAACATAGAACAAAAACAAAAAAATAACTCAACTACTTATCTACAAAATTAAAGATTCTATAAATATAAAAACCCAATTAATAAGAGTGAACTTTGAGTAGATAATCAATAAGATTGTACTTAGACAATATGTTATTAAATACAACATGTAAATTTTAGTCATTGAGCTGTTAATGTTTGAATTTTCTGATAAGAAAAACTTTGCAATATTTTAGTTTAAACTTGTACTCATCAATAAGTTTCATATGGATATCACCATTATAAGAAAGAAAAACAAATCAAAACAAAAATAAAATAAAACACAAACAAGAACGATACACTGATGCATGAAATATAAACTTTGAGATGTTAAGGTCAAATTCAATAGTAATAATCTAAATATTAACCTGGAAATTGATGAATTTGATCCTAAGAATAGTATCATGCGTTAAATGAATTGTTAAACTTTGGGAAGAAAAAACGCACCAAATCATATATATATATATATATAATTGGGTGGATCGTTATAAAAGAATAATAAATTTGTGCTCTCGTGCTAGACTGATAGGTCCTGGGTTCGAATCTCGCGAGGCGGGATCGTGGATGTGCACTGCTAAGGAGTCCTTCAATATGACGAAACGGCCGTCAAGCAGTGCTTCCGTGTTTTTCATGATGGTCTAGTTTCAATTAACTCATTACCTGAACTATGTAATATTTGTAATATCCCAGTTAGTAGAAAAATTGGATTTTCTAATGTTTTGTGACTCAGTGTAAGCCACTCCTTCAGAGAATAAATAACCAAATCAAAACTAATCCAAGTTTAAATGGAACAACGTAATATACAAGTTGTTCCGTTGTACTATTTAAACTTGGATTAGTTTTGATTTGGTCATTTATTCTATGAAGAAGTGGCTTACACTGAGTCACGAAACATCAGGAAACCTTATTTTTCTACTCACTGGGATATTACAAATGTATTATTTCTTTATATATACATGATATGTTTTCTTTAAGAAATATTAGTCTGATTTTGTTTAAAAAACAATTCAAACTAATGATATTTATAAAAAGATAGTTAAAATATTTTACATTGAAATTAATTTAGTCATCTTCTGAAACAGATTCAGAGGTAAACAGTTTCAATTTAACTTTATATTTAGTAATTGTAGTTTGATGTTTGTATGAATTTGATTTTTAGTTTATTAAGTGTAGATTAGTAGAATGTACCTATTTATTATTAGTTAATATTAAATATTGGATTAAATAATGAATTGTTAAAAATGTAATAGTACTGGGTGAATGCCACTTTGCTTTATTAGAAATTTGTAAATAATACATAGTTTACAATGTTTATATAATTATCAGAAGGGGTTTTGTGGAGATTTGAGTAATTTTATAGTTGAAATCTCGAGTTATTTGAAGCTAGACCACCATGAAAAAGTTGGAACCACCGGACGGTCGTTTCGTCCTATTGCGGGACTCCTCAGCAGTGCTCATCCACGATCCCACCCTGCCAGAATCGAACCCAGGACATAATCTTTGAATGTCTTAATGTGAAGATGAGATTATTTTAGAAAACGATTCATTAGCTTTGTATTAACATATCTATTGTGTTAAAAGTGATTTCAGGTTATACCTAATAAAGATAGAGAATAAACACTGATTAAGAAAAATATAGTTATTCAATATAATGTGAATGCTAAGTAGTTCTTTGTTTAGCACTGATTTGTATAGACAAATATCTTTACAGATTATCTAACCAAACAATTTCCTCATCATAAGAATCAAAAACCTCCAAAAAGGACTAGAAGATTGTTCTTGTTTTAGTTTTTATGATTTCACAATAGCAAGTTCTCAAACGAAGTTAAGCGGTTTTTTCTTTAGATAAAAAGGTTCATTTCACTGTCTTCAGTTTACTCTACATTTGATAGGGCAACCATCCAATTCGTTCGTAGGATACACCCACAATTCCAAAAGTGATTTCACTGAAATCGTAGAAATCCATCGCTAAGTCAGTCATCACTAAACAACCGATTACCGTTTGATAGGGTATAATAAACAGATTCTTTTAATTCGATGTTAGCTTATTCTACACGGAACGACCTCTGGAGAATCCATGAAATCATGAAAGTACTGCTTATACATTTGTATCTTAGTTAGGGACTTCTTTTTTCTTTGTTTACTCTTTTTATATGCATTAGTGTTTGTCGTTTCCGTTGTAGTTTTATGATGATATTATTTGAATTGTTTTTTTACTTTTGTTTAAAATGATAGTTTTTTATTTTTTTACTGGTGTATACATATGACTTTATAATAGGTAAACAACTTGCACTGATAACAACATTTCACACAAACAACCTTATCTAAACAAAATAGTTTTGTTAAATGCGATCTCATTTTTTAAAGAAAAAGAACGGTTCTATTCAATTGATTCTTTAGATGGGAATACTAAACAATAGACATTGGTTTTCTATAAATATTAGAGCTAGTTAGCTGAATATCATAAGTTTTGATTTATTTAAATTCCCCAAAAAACATAAATATTTATTTAGAAGCACTTCATTTCTTTGCAGCAAATGCTTTTCATTTATTAACTAGTAAAGTTTATTACAGAAAATTGTAATTGAAAGCATGAGTCAATTGAAGCTAGACCATCAGGGAAAACCTGGAAGCACTGGACGGCCGTTTCGTCCCCTTCTAATAATAATAATAATCATATGCTCACTACGAATGACTTCGAGAAACAAATCCAGGAGTTCTAGTGAGAAGCAGTGACCAGTCGAGTTCAAACTACGTCTGTTGTGAGATAGGAGCCCACTGAAGAAAATTGGTGAACGGTTGCTCAACTTTGTGGATTGGTTGGAGTTAGAGATAAACACCATCGGATGCCAGCTCACTGGTCTATCGGTTAAGTGCTATGGCGCGAGACTGGTAGGTCCTGAGTTCGAATCTTGCGAGGTGAGGTCGTGGATGAGCACTGCTGAGGAGTCCCACAATAGGTGGTCTAGCTTCAATTGACTCACGCTTTCAACTATGATAAATACTCAATCTCCACAAAACCCCTTCTATAATTATATACATATGTTGAAATGACTTGGTAATCAGAAGAGAAAATTAATTTACTTTTCTTCATTTCTTACATTACACATTTTGTAGGAAGAAGAACGTCGACGCAGAGAAGAAGAGGTATGTATGAAATAAGAAGGTTTCTATAATGTTTTCTGTCTTGTAAAACAAATGATTATTTCATAATACAATGTTTTATTAAAATTTCTTTGCAGAATATTGTTATATAAATTTTAAATCTTAATTGATTGTATTACAAACACACACATAACAACAGTGATAGGAAAGAAACAACAAGAGTGAATATTAAAACATTGTCTCAGGAGAACTTCTCTTAACTTTATTAAACATATATGTGAACATTTTAAATAAAGCGCTGACCATATGAATGTTTTAAAAAAACGGTTGTTATGTTAAAGAAAACATTGATGTCTCATAAGCATGTCATAATCAATTTATCTAAATGTAGATTTCTTATATGTGTAGTTTGTTTGACTTCATGTCCAACTAGAACTCGGAATGCTATTCCTATTTAGATACTATAGAAAAAGCACACATAATTGTGAAAATATTCGTTAACTAGTCCTCATATTATATCAAATGTAATAAATAATAGTGAATAGGATTTTATTTTAAATGCATGTGATAATAATCGTATATTATTCAATGCATGCTAACATAGTTTAATTGGATATACATTCAAAGAAATCTCATTTCAGCATGAATATTATAATGAAAAAATACTGAAAGTAATATCTCAAACAAATAAGTAGTATATATGGAATTTATAAAATATTTATTTTGTATAATTAAAACATTCACTGGTCATCTCTTTTTTTTACTGATGTATTCTTTTTGCATATATATCTCATTCATTCTATTCTATTATTTATTATAAATTTAGGTAGCTCAAGAAAGACAGCGTAAACTAGAGGTTAGAAACATTTTTACATAAAAAAAATATTAAAAAAAAACAGTGAAAAATTAAATCAATAAAATAATCCATTTTTTCGTCTTACTAATCACATATTTCTAATACTACTTATTTACTCATTTATTCATTCATACATTCATTCATCTCAATAATTCTTTTTGATGGAGTTTTGTTCTCTGAACTGGATGATTTGGTCATGGAGCTTTCATCTTCCTACTAAACAACATCATCAGTCCTTCACTTCACTTACTAATTACTTACCTACTTACTTAGTTGTTACTAATTCATTTATTCATCTATTTTCATTATTAATTTTTGACAAATCGAATTATAGTTAATTATTAATCAAATAAAACTTTCTCAGAGTGTTCTAACTTGTTGTCAAGGCATTAATTTAATTAAAATTTCCATAATCAATTTAATAAATATTAAAAAAAATTAAAACTGCACGAATAAATTGAATTGACATTGCTTGGCATGTTTCATTTGAATGGTGATTATTGCATAGAGATTGAAGTTATAATGTATCTCAAAGATGTTTATCAAGTACTCAAAAGATAACATGATAATATTTATGGAAAAAAAAGAAAAGAACATTTCAGTAATTCAGTGTATCAAGTACACAACAATCATTTCAATGAAGAAACCTCTTTGAGTTACATTATACTATAAGAAGTATAAAAGAAAGAAAACTTTAAATCTTGGTTAATTAAGTTAATTTTTAATTCATGATTTCATCAATATTTTGTTAGCATTTTTCTTGCTATCAATTTTTAAGACATTCAATGATTGATATAAAATGGCTTTTGTGCATTAGATAGCTTTTGTATTATGATAGCATAAATGGTAGTTGTGTGAATAAACAAAACAGAATGTGTTCCATTCCGAAGCATTTTTTATCAACAACAAAAAAAGAAAACAGCAATTCTTAACAGTTATGCTTTATTTACTGCTTTTCATTTCTCCCAAACTTGTTATTTTAGTGGCTTCCTTATGATTTATTCTAGTTTGTTATCACACAATTTAATATTCTTCTTCTAATTCACCGTTTCGCTTTCATTGCACAAAAAACAAACACGAGAGCATGGAAGATAAATACTGCTGAATAAAAAAAGGTTGAAACATATGCTAAATAACAAGGTACTATGCTAGTTTCCCTTTCCTCTACCTCATAATGTTTTACTCATACTAAACATAAACTAACAACTTAACATATACGGGTATATTTTTTTCTATAGTGTTGTTTTTTAAGGTCATTATTGAAGTGTTTACATTTTGACTATAACCAGATCATAAAGAAATGAATTGTTTAGGTAGTTTAGTCAAAAACAGAAATGTGTATTAATAGTATTTCTATGTATGTGTAAATGGTGATTGATGAATTCATCCTATTTCTAGATTCAGAGTGCTAAAAATGGAAAGATGTACACTAGATTTTTATTAGGTACTACTTTATGTGTTCTGTTTATTCTATTTTCTAACTGTATTGTTTTGGACATTTCATTGTTTAACAATCGATGGTGAGTCATTTTCGTGTTTCATGATTGTTTTTAAGCAAAATTCGATGACATCATTTCAGAATATTCCCCTGAGAAAGAACGCTTTAACTTTTAAGAACTGAAAAATTAAACAATATCAACAATATCAGTTTTAATTCCATTTAAATTAATCCAAAATGATCAACTCTAATTATCCAATAACCTGAGTTATTCATGCGAAAAGTAAAATAAATAAGTAACCGTCTTGATATTTCCCTTGTCTGCTTATAAGCAATATAACTTTTGAGAATTAGACATTCATTAGTAAACATTATCAGAAAATATGATTAAGGGTTAATTCATTTAACAGATCGTTTGGTAAACAGTTATAAATAGCTTTCTAAGAAACTTTAGTACAAAAGCAATAGGGATATAATGAAACAATGAAATAAAGTTGTTAAACTTCAAGTTTATAAGTATGGAGCTGCAGTACATTTCACCTTTTCATGAGATCGTTCATGATGAAGTCAGTATTATAGTCCAATGGACTAACTTACCAAACTTTATCCTTGTGCTAAAATAATTTGTCATTTAAATCATTTAGCATTTAAAACCTTTGGACTCCATTAAAATAATAGATAATAATATTTCAAAATCTTCACCAAGTTACTAGGAGACAGATATAAGTCTAATTCTGTTCTTTTATTCTTTTACAGAGTAATAGTTAGGTTTGATATATTTTGTTTTAGCTATCCTGCCAACTTCTGAGTTCGATGCTTTATTTTTGCTAATCTACCTAGTGATTATTTACGCTTTTTTGTTAGAGAAATGACAGTAATTTAATTCAACTTGCCTGCATGTTTACGCCTATTACAAACAGCAGAACAGAATATTTCTTTCCTGATTGATGACATACAGGTGCTTCCAATTTGAATGGAATGAAAACTTAAAAAAACGCTCGTCTGAAGTCTTTTCAACACTAATCCGTAGTAAAATATTTAGCTATGTTTAATCACAATTTTTTCAATTTCTACTTTGTTTGACTACTGTTAATAACAACATAAAAAAAGGAGAAGAAACGCAAAGAAGCTGAAGAAGCCTCAAAGAAACAACGTAAACCTGGTCAGAAGCGTAAAGGTTTAGGTGGTTTGTCGAAAGAGAAGAAACGACTGTTGAAAGTGAGTTAATCATACTGATCTTTCTAATATCTGCAATTTTTTTTATTCAAGTGAGCTATAAGTTTTCTTTAATGTAACCAAAAGAGTGGCCTAGTTTTTATAGATGTAGTTAATTATATGTATCGATGTAATATTTAACTGATTTATGATACTCGTTGATTACATATATCACAAACTGCGTCAAATTTATTTATATATGAAGTACTGCATCTATTTAATATTTGCTTCATCTCGATAATTAATTGATGAAAACTCTCAGTAGTTTAGAATACCATAAATAATGATTTTTGCGGAAATCATATAGTACTATTGTGGTGGACGCCACTCACAAGGGTGTTTGTAAGTAGGGCTTTGCGAAAAGTGGTGTCTAAGTTGCAACGGTTTATGAATAGAATGGAGAATTTCAGTTCATTGAAAGTACGGAGATAGCAGAACACTTAAAGTTCAGTTTAGAACACATTTAGGATTGCAGAAAACATCAGAAGATGAAAATAGACTGTTGAAGGCTGTGTATATGTATTATATAAATACTATTTAACTTCTTGTAATCAGTATGCATACTTCCTGCCTACTTACGTGATTTAAATTTGTTGTCTTTATGAGGCAGTTCTGTGAACGACATTGTGGAGCCGAGGAGTAGGCATTGCTTTGAGTGGTCTGGTCCGGACAGGAGAGGTCCAGTGAGGTGGTTTAGCGAAACTGCACTGGGTGTAGCTGTCTCCGTCGATGAAGGGGGAACGTGGGATGTCGTGGATGTTTAATGAACTTCGGATTAATATGACTCAGGCGGTCGATAGAGCTGTCGTGTTTTACACTACACTTTATGTTAGTATGATCTTACTTTTGGGAAAATAGTCTTGTGTAGAGAAATTGTCCTAAATTTCTAAGAAATTTCGTTTAATTACAGAATATTTATGGTACTGTTCTATACTCTCTCATATTACTGTTTTAGATACATTAGCCCTGTATCTTTTTAGTTATTAATAAACCGTGATAGCACCATTATGAACATTTATTATTTAGTGACGACGCTAAAAATAATTCACTTTTCATGATAAACAATTTATCAACCCACTCAGAACATGAAATTTAAAGATCTTAGTTTACTTTGATCATTATTTAAATGGATGGGCAGTGCACTTACCTTTATTAGTTTCAGTAATGATTCACAGAATTTTATTACAGCATACAAAGATTTTATGAATTTTAAAAGTAAAACAATCATTTCTACTATCCATGTGGTTCAGTAGGATCTACATTTACTCCCTTGTTTTTCATCTTTTGCTTTGTTAAATAATACTGAACACTTAGAAATTTAGTGTTCTGCATCTCTAAAATGTTCATGTAGCTGTTAATTATCTATATCATTGAATCAACAAAAATATCGTTAAGCACACATAGATAGTGGCTAGCACCGGAATCCAGGACGCGCGACTTTTCGTTCTATTTAGGACTCGTCAGCTGGATGTACCTGCATCTCAGATTTGATGTTCACTCTGAAACTCGAACCCAGTACCGTTCGCTTCAAACACAATCGCGTTATCCACATAGCTAATGAGTCCTAATAACCACTTGCTTGTGCAATGGGGTGAAGTTTAAATTGACTTGGTATTGTTTGGTTGAATCTCCTCATTGATGTTTAGGACTGCGATTGATCAGTCTTTTATAATGTTGGTGAATCAAGGCTATATTGAGGCAATACGCACAATATGCACATATGACCAATAAGAGACTAATCAATTGCAGTCCTAAACGTTAATAGAAAGATTCAACCAAACAATACCAAGTGAATTTTAAAAATATCGATAATTTAAGTTATTCTTTTAATAATTCCATTTTGATCTTATTTTTTTGATCAATGATCAATTTAAGTTTATCCTCAAATCATAAATTTATAATTTAATTATAAACATTATAGAATAGATTTGTAGTAACAATTGTTTTGAATTTCCCTAATTCGAATCAAAAATAAATGAATGTACTTGTTTATAAAAATATTCAACTGATTTCACGTGATGATAGGGTAGATTTACTTTAAACGCCTTTAAACTGTTTCTGTTGATATAACCTTCATTGATTAGTTCATTTAGAACAACAAAATCTAAATTCTTTTTTTAATGATGGTCAACATTCAACGTTTTATCTGTTAAAATACAACATAACAACTGTGAATTGATAAATGTTAGTATGGAAAAACAAAAATATTATTTCTGATTTTAATAAAAGACAAAAACATAATTTACAAAATGTAACTATAGTTAATCAAGATATGAATATAATGTTTAACCAGAAAATTTTCTAACTTAACTACTTACTTACTTACTTACGTCTGTCACCCCTCGGGGAGGAGCATAGGCGGCCCACTTACACTCTCCATTCAACCTTGTCCAGGGCAATCCTTTCCAGTTGCTATTCATCCTTTTTATATATGCTTCTATTTCCCGGTTTAATGTGTTCTTTGGCCTTCCTCTTTTCTGCTTTTCTTCCGGATCCCAAGTTAGGGCTTGCAGGGCTTCATGATGCCTCATGATACAGTTTGATGATTTCCTCAATATATGTCCTATCTAAATTAACTACACTAGCATACAATTAGACTACAAAGTTTTGATTATACATTCTTTTCAATTTATTTAATTTCAGAAGTGAAACTATAATTTATGGGCGACCTTTGAGTGACTTTAAATGACCTTGAGAGTGTCTACCGACTTACTAGACCTAAATAATGGTTATAAGCCTATGTGAAAATAAAGATTGTGATTTACAGTTGACGGTTAGGATTAGTAATTGGATTTAGGGTTTTCATCACGAACTGACATCAGTTGAAATAAGAAAACACTATCTAGACAAATGGGTAAACGAATTTTGCGCTCAAATCCAAGATCTGTTATCTTAAATCTGATTGGTTCGTTCATAAATTATAGTTTCATCGGGATTATTTAATTGAGTTAACTAAATAGATTTACTAAAGTTAGGTGTGCTGAAAATTTTTTCATATAATCTTCCCTTAGGGTAGAATTCAAGTTACGCATTTCATGTACATCAACAGTAGCAAAGTGAAAATGATGTGCCGCGTCAGGACTTTGGTCTTTAAGTCATCTGAAGTCATTACGTATTTCAAATATCATAGTTATTATCTAATCTGTTACTTGGTCACGAAGGTAGACATAGTAAGGGAGGTTACTGAAAAAAATCATTAAAAAATTGTGAACTATTTATAATCAACTGGTCAAACATAATAATATTTTCAATAATACTGTCTATTTCAGCAACTGATTATGCAAAAAGCTGCTGATGAAATGAAAGCTGAGATGAAACGCCGACAGGAGGAACGTGAGAACTTCTTACGTGGAAAAGTAGAGCCACTGAAACTTGATGGTCTTGGTGAAAGTAAGTAGATCAAAAAAATGTTATCTATAGTTGTACGAGGTAAACAGAATTTTTCTAGCTACTTTTCGGTCAGTTGAACAACTATTTATCGGCTGTTACAAAAAAATATTATCTTGCTTGCATCCCAGGATGTTATTCCGACTTTTTAGAAAGTGTATAGCCGAAGTGTTTGCACTGACTTGTCATATGATTGCAACCACTGTCATAATAAATAATCCTTAGCGCTAATCTATTTTCTCAGCAAGTTAATCTAGTTGTTCAACTCTTCTACAATCATTGATGCCTGATACAAGAGAATAGTCAACTGACTTCTAACCACCAATCAATTATTCAAGCTATTTTGTATCTCTAGTTGTTACCTGCCTTTGGTTCATTACATAACATCAATTCCATATCTGATTTTTACATATTATGATAAAATAATCTACAATGATTGTTTAATTCTATGTGTACTTTCCACTTACAAGCGTTAGTTAGTGACTTGTCAGTTAAATATATCTAATTTTCGTTGATAATCTGAATGTTATTTCTAAGTACTTAGATATTACCAGTTTATTTTAATGCTTTAAACAAAAAGAAACGATAGATCACCATGATAAACCTGGAAGCACCGGACGGCCGTTTTGTTCTATTGTGGAACTCCTCAGTATTGCGCATCTACTATATAAAACTATATAAAATTGCTAAAAATCTCCACAAAACCCCCTTCTGAAAAAGAAAAGAGTATATGTATTCTTTGTATACTATAAAAATTATTTACCATAATAATAACTATTAGTGTATACTATATAACGTCTATATAACTTTCAAACTTAACATCTTTTCTTTTTAACAGACGATTTAAATGCTAAAGTGAAACAGTTGTACGAACGTGTTCGACAGCTCGAAGGTGATAAATATGACTGGGAAGAAAAGTTAAGACGTCAAGATTTTGAGGTGATTTTTATTTTCAGTTGAATTATTTCAGTACATTCCGGTAACATTAACATAATGTCATACTTCACATTATTGACTAACGATTAGATAACTATTGGAAACTAGAGGAAATATTAAATAGTAATTTCGTCTTCATGTGAGGTTTGCTACTGATGTCAACAGATATAAGTAGTATGTATCACCAATCAAAAGTGAAAGTAGACGGTTAAGAAGCTAAAAAAAGGCAATGAGAACAAAAAATGATTGGTGTAGAAACGAAAGGACAATGAAGTCTGAGATGATTAACTGATATTTGTAAAAGGAACAGTCAAGTATGAGACAATTAATTAACATTTTGCAAATGAATTATTTACTGTATGGTTCTCTGTAATTTTGTGTTCAAAGACATTCAACTGTCTTCATTTGGATTCTCTTTCACCACACTAGTATGTAACTACTCAGTAGTTCGTTTGATATTTTTAGCATAAAATTGTTGTATGTTTCGTATGATAACTTACAATAAATAATACAGACAACCGAAAACAACCCGTTTTTCAATTTTTATTGACCGAATGACAAATACTTCACTTATTCGAAGTCGAATTACTTATGAACATGCTGATAATTTGCATTGACAGTTTAAACTTTTTTGATTTGTTACATAGGACTCAAATAATACACTTCAATACAAAAGAAAGTAGTGATATAGCTTTTAAATTAATATTAAATACATTTTCCACAAACCCATATATTGATAATGTGTAATGATTGTCACTTGTTAAATTTTATTAATTGTTAGTTATATCTACGTATGCAAGTTAAACAAACACATATTTATCATATCATATAACATATCATCATATTATCATTATTTTTCTAATCATTAAAACCGTGAGATACAATTAGATGATAGAGAAGATTTATAGCTCAGGTGGATGATTTTGCTGGGGTTTCGTTCTCTGAGCTGGATAATTTCAACGTAAAGCTTTCATCATTCTTCTGAACAACATCAGCACAAACTACTTGAAGTTTATCAAACACAATCAGATTCGTAATCATTCTGTTACATTTGATTTATTTATATTTAATCTTACGAAGTGATGTCTGAATAGGTTTTATTCCGTTTTCTTACAAATTATGAAAACTAAGGTTCTGTCTCCAAAAAATTCAAAACGAATTATTAATTATCTATTCAATACTTACATGTTTACTATGATTACACATCCCAATAGTATTGTGTAAAATAATTGTCCAATACTTTACAACATTCATACATATATATCTCTTAGTTGTACGTAGATATATGCTGATTTATCTACTTTTCAAATCAAAGATAAAATGATCGAAAGTAGTTGATATGACAATTTATTGAACATAGGAAACATTTCTATTATTCTCAGATTTTAATGCTAGTTATCAGAAGGGGATTTTGTGGAGATTTTAGTAATTTTTTATATAGTTGAAATCATTAATCAATTGACGCTAGACCGCCATGGAAAATCTGGAAGCACTGGATGGCCGTTTCATCCTATTGTAGGAGTTCTCAGCAATGCGCATCCACGATCCCGTCCCGCGAGATTCGAACTCAGGACCTATTAGGAGTCCCACAGTAGGACGAAACGGCCGTCCAGTGCTTCCAGGTTTTCCATGGTGTTCTAGCTTCATGATTTCAACTATGTTTAATGTTAGTAGTTTGTCTTTTTTTAAACTGAATTCTAATCGTAATAAGATTTTGCATTTATCAATTAAAACTTTACTATCAATGATTTGTCTTTTTACTTGTTCATTTATAACTAGATCAATGAATTAACAATCAAGGTTAATGATGTAAAAGGCAAATTGTACGTTTATTGTTCCTTATTTAATTAATAATGAAATAATTGGTTACCTGATTATTGATTCATTGAAATATAAACTAGAATCATCTAAAAACTGCCCAGTTCATCATTAGGTTTTACAGACACATGAAATAATGTCAAATTTATAAAGGAGTAGACATGACTTTCACTAATATATTTGTCAATAGTCCGGTTTAAGGTTAAGTTAAGCGATAAAATCGAAAACATGGTGATGAAATTTTATAAACGTAGTACTTTACTAAGATATTTGTAATATTGTCACTGATGATGTCCAGTTTAACAATGAAACATGTATAAAAGTCTCTACAAGTCCGGAAATTCAATAATTTAAACAATGTATCTTAAACTTATTGGTACCATTAGATTGAAATAGTTGGCAAAATCTAAGTTTGTAAATTATTTGCTATTGTAATCAGAGTGTCAGTCGAGGTAGGAGGAATAATAGGAATTGAAGAGGAAAATTGATTATGAATACAGTGGTCTTGAGTGCTGTTAGATGTATAAGGGAAGTTTTCACTACCTGGTTGTCCAGAACGTGGACGGGTTCTTCTAGAGGTACATGGAAAGGAAGTTGTGTTCGAGTTGTTCTTATTGACCTGAGAATGTGAACGCGATGCCCAAGCGACAACTACTTGAGGTCAGTCACACACGACCATTTTGTAAGTAATTTTCGTGTTAGCTCCGTATCTGTTGAGACCTTACCGCCGGAGACGGATATCTGTGGGATAAGGCGCGGTGTGCATTTTTCTTACTCCATCCCTCCTTGTGGGAAGGCAGCATCGCTGTCATGATGGTTTTCTGAAAGAAACGTCTTTCTACTGTCCCACTTTTGTACACTCAGCATAACGATTTCGCCCTCAGACCTTGGGCTTGTTGCTTTTATTCCTACCGCTCTTCAACCAACTTGTCTAACATGGTAGAACGTTGAAGAACGATTGTTTTAGCCAGCATAATTCGACTGGTTCATTACGATAGGCAAACCCGAACACCACGTCAAGGTAGAAGCAGCGGTCGTGTGATTAGAATGACAACTGAGATTCATTATATTGTACTGTCTAGAAGACCTTTGATTTATACAATATTATAATTAATATAATGAATTGCCAATAACTCATGACAGTTAAAAATTAAATTTTTTTATTGTTATTCATTTAAAAGAAATTCATGACTTCCTACAGTATGTTTATAGTGTAGTATTGAGAGTTTCGTCATTTACCTAATCAAAATTATTTTCTTATAGAATTCATTCTACAAATCATAAATATTAATATGTGTTACTTTCATTGAATTTAAATAGTGTAAAACCAGTTTTAAAGAAAGTATCTAAAACTGAAAGTCATATGGCACGATTTGAGAAAAAGGAAGGTGGACATTCACTTTCTTCTTTCCGTAATCAACTTAAGTCAACCGGTCATAGTAAGTACGCCCTGGAGGAAAAGGATGAAGTTGTGGTAAGTTCTATAAAATATTTATTAACATGATTGATGTATAACAATAAGTCAGCTATAAATTAGACTTATGAAATTATGAGTTTTTATTTGTTTATAATCCAAAACAACCAGTAATTATTAAGCAAAACCTTACTTCAGGATATTAAAATAAACCACCTCCTCTATGCAAAGAAAGTGAATGTTTTCATTATGTTAATTGCTTAGTATTGTATCTAGTACATTTCATACTACTTATGAATGCTACTTTTTCAACTTCAAAGTAAACAGCAGATTATCAGGTTTCATCTTTCATACAAGTTTTGACTGTTTAACGGTATTATTAAACTCGAATCTTATAAAATAATCATAATCTCTAAAATTCTAGTATTTTAGAAAAATATCTGACAAAGCATTTAACTAGATTTCTAGAAAACTTTTCATAGTATTACAAAGTATGATATTTAAAACAAAATATCAAAAACAATAAAGAAAGAGTGAACACTTGGTAAGTAAATATAGGTTGCTTTTTTAAATCCTGTTCTACAAATTTAATCATACTGAGATTATAATATGGCTATTTAATTATCTGACTTCAGTGACAATTATCCTTTGAATAATGTAGGGAATCCTACAATGATGGTAATTACTGTTGTTTTAAGCACTTGTAATCTTATTAGAAAATCGGCAACTGAATTACTCTGATTTTCCAGAATTTCGATAGCTAAATGGACATTTGTTCTTAATAACAGTAAAACTATGAAATTAAATTTGAACACCGGTTTAAATCACAAGAAAACATTGCGTTCTACAAGAGTAAGGAATGGCCATGCAAGTCAGTATAAACTTGTGCCTGAAGCCTCCTATTAAGTACTTCCGATGAAGAAAAAAAGAAAAACTATTCATATCTATATGTTATTTGTTAGAAACATGTTTTCAGAACAGATTATTAAGTCATTTTTGCTTCAATTACTAGGCCACAGCCTAGTCTGGTCTAGATGACTTGATTGAGATGCTGCGGTGGGTTGTGCTCGAATCGTGGCTTAATGACAAGATATAATATACTTCATTATAACTGCAATACTTAATGAGAAATAATTTTTAATCTGTCGAAGGTGTATATCAGTTCTTTTATATGTAAACCTATTTATAACCTTGAATATTTAATGACACATTGAAAAATTGGAACTTTCTCAGTCAAGAAATATTTCTTTTAATGAGGCTCAGACATGACTTACTCTAAGGGAGTATGTAAGTGACTTAACCTTACTTTTCAATGATTAGTTTGATTTAATATAGCAACCAGGAAAGTTCCATGATCTCTGAAAATAAACAACGCATTAGACTACTTTTGATTACTATTAAAACACTAATTATTTCAAGTCAACTCACTTCATACAATCTACTCATAATTAACTTTAACATAAAATGACTTACTCTTGAAACGATACTTCATTCTTCTATTAGTTTGTATTTTATTCAGTTATATTTAGTCGAATTTTGGAATTTACCACTGAGTGAGCATGAGATTTCACTAGAGCTTTCAATTTTGAATTAGTTTTACAATATTAGTTAGTTTATCATCTTACTGACTACAAATGGACTAGATTTATTATGTAGATAAATAACTTCGCGACATTTGAATCTCGAATTTCTACTAGTGAATTATCTGAGCTCTTTAGTTAACACAAAAAACCAAGCAACAAGAACTATTAAAGTGTGAAACATAGCAGTAATAGCTATGCTTTCAAATGCCCTGGTACGGCCGAGAGTGAGGAGGGCCCGCTCTCTCTCTCGAAACGCTCTGACACGGCCACGCGTATATAGCCTCTGCCAGGGAAGTCCTACTTATTGCTTTCGCGCACCACGGGTGTTGTTTAAGAGATTGAGAGGACAAAAAGCGAATGTCCAGCGCCTTAACCGGGTTAGTGGACACGGAAAGTCCACCTAAGAGAGCTGGGAAACCCTGATTCCAAACCAATGGTGCACATGGGGGCCAGTATCTTGAAGGTACAAATGGCGTGTGAAACAATCGTTGGTCACCGGCTACCATGGGACTGGATTTTCTCACGATCCTCCACTGCTTTGTGGATCTGATCTTTAGGTTGAAGGCTCCGAGTATGCCCCCTAAGAAAACCACCTGCTTCAGTTTGGGTACCTGGACAGTATCACAGCCCCAACACAAATCAAATGAGATTTGTGTGACGCATATATATCTGGTGCCCCCTTGTACCAATATTTATGTGCTCAAATAAATAAATAAATGCACCGTCGTAATTATACGGGTCTTCTAAAACAAAACAAAAAGTAGTTATTTAAACCTACTTAAAATCTATCAGTTGCCTATGTCAAGTAGCTAAATAATTTGAAAGTGTTATAAATATGAGAATTCAGTTCAAGACTATGACTGACCACCAATACTAAGTAAATTAAACTACGAATTTCTTACATTAACAGTCACCAACACTGTTAATAAAATGAAGGCATTTTGAATAATAAACTTCACAATATTCATCTATTTATCCTCTATTATTATAAGAAGAGGTTTTGTGGACATTATAGTAATTTCAATAGTTAAGATCATGAGCCGTCCAGTGCTTCCAAGTTTTCTATGGTGGTATAGCTTCAATTAATGTCAACTATTGAAATTATATTAATTTAAATAACTGGTTACTAATAATCATGTATATGATATTGAGTAACATAGATTCAATACTATTCCATTAAGCTGAAATCGTTAATATAAAGCTATATTAAACTAATAATAAATGAATGATATTTTTTTCTCCTCAAGACATTTACCTTGGTGAATAAGAAATCCAAAAATGTTTACTCAATTTGATTATCGATTTAAACTAGAATTATAATTGAAGTACATTCATGTATACTTACTTTTCTACAAAAGTTGAACTATGCCGAAAAAAAAACAGACTATAAGAACTATCAAAGAATTTTAAATCTAGTTACTTTAGTTAACTGATATAATTTCTATATATTAATTTGCATGATACTAAGCAAAGATGAATAGTGGCTAGCAGTGGAATCTGGGACGCACGTTTCGTCCTATATGATCAGTTGCAGTCCTAACCATCAATGGAAAGATTCAAACAAACAATACTAAGTGAATTGCATGATACTAGTTTGAATTTATTTTCTAGATTAAATAGTTTGTTTTATATTTAAATGATTGTATGTATGTTTTTATTTTGTGTTTTCTTTTTTTTCTTCTCTTTTTCCCCCGCTTGTCTCACCATCTTTATTTGGATCCTCATAAATAAATCTATCCTTTTATACCATTCATTATATACATATATATATATATATGTATGTATATATAATCAATAAACTACAGAATACACCTAAATAATAGTTTACCTTATGAAGTAACAGTCAGTATTTACTTTCAATAAATAAAATTTTTATATAATTGTAAAACATCAAAGAGAACAACAATAAACTTAACTGATAAATACTTTGAAATTCATTTATCATCAAATGAGCAAGAGAAATAAATAATACAGTGAGTTTCATTAAAGTAATTATATGATTTCTATCTGTAACCAGATGCATTTTATCTTCTATATATTCATTATTATACTTATACTTAGACTATAATTTAGTCCCTATTTACAATTGTTGCTTTTTCTCCATTTTTTTTTCGTGGTGTGTTTTCTTTTTTGTTCTTTTTTTTATGCTTACTCTTTTCTGTTTGCAATAAATTAACTTCATGTGAATATATATGTAGAAAGAAGATTGGCGTGATCAATTAAAGGCCAAAGAATAAATACAATAATATTGTAATTGTCAAGAAAGTATCTACTGAAGATGATAATGATGATAATATGAATGTTCAATATAAAAAAAATGCATTTTCCATACAGAGTATTGTTCTATGCAAAATGTAGATCAATGATTCGATGCGTTTCTCCTTCATTCCCTATCTTATTTCATCTTTATCTTCATTTTTGTTAAGTTTCTTTCTACTCTCTTATTTTGAATCTTTTTTTAGGCGTAATTGTATAGTTGTCCTCAAATTTTTCATTTGTTAGTTGATTTGAAATGATAATGAACAGAAAAGCATATGCTACATTGATTAGTATGTCTTACTGTTATGACATTATAAGCGTCATGAAATCCTTTTAAGTTGGTTATTGCATTTTTCGTTTGTCTTTTCTTCTATGAATCTCTATATTATAATTCCTTATTTCATTTTGTAATTTTACGTGCTTCATTTCGTTGTTACATTTACAAGTATGTCGTTGTACTTTATTGAAATTTAAATTATTGTCTTGTAGTTTCAATCTTTTTCAATTTATCCACTCTCTAAACTCGATGTCGGATCATTGTAGAATTGTGTAGATCACTATTCGAATGAAAACTTCATTTCCCCTTACTTCTATCATGGTTATTACTATGTTTGTTGAATAATATCAATGTTATGTTATCAGTTTACCTAATTTCTAACTTGGCAAATTAAATACAAACCTGCTTAAGTACCACAAAATTTTAATTAGTTATTGCACCTCGATCTAAATTCCTTTGATTATTTTCTTCTCTCTCTCTTTATCTGTGTGTGTATCCGTTTTTGTTTACTTCTCTCATAATATTTATTTCAAATACTGAGATGCTACTTGATGTTTATTATTTAATTCCCTGTTATGAAAGTCAGTATAATGAACAAATGAAATAAAATACCCAATAATTTCTTGTTATGTTTTCTGTTTTTATTCTTTTGACGTATATAAACTAATTAATTGTAATGCCAGGTAACAATTCATTCTACTTGATAACTATGGTTAGTCCAAGATGTTTGTACTTTGTTAAACGATCTTGTAAACTTTCAAGATAGATCCATAATTATTTAATTTAAACCACCCTAGTTGTCTCGGATTCGCTCTTCACGAGCTGTTGTCAGATGTCAAAGTATTACTGAGGCTATTATCTTATAAACTATTTCAGTTAAACCGATTACTCTGTGATCCTCACAAGAGGTATTTTTCTCTTCTTATAGACTGAAATGATCAGCGATTGGGGTTAGTCAGATGGGATTACGTTCGGTCTCCAAATTTTCGCTGAGATCTTACTTAATTCAGCTGAGAAAACTAGACCACCATCCCTAAACGTTCTGGAATTCAATTCATCAGGCCCTGCCGCCCTGTCTCCCTTTAAATTACTTGTGGCTTTTTCAACTTCACTAAGAGTTAGGTGGCTTACATCAAATCGCCACTTAGGTTGCCTGAAGATATTTGGTAACTGAAGTGTGACTGAAGGCCAATTGAACTGGTCCCTAAAGTGTTATGCCCATCGCTCCCATCTCCTGAACTGAGAGTGAATAACATTCCCGTCCATTTCCTAGAGTTCCACCAACAACCGGATTTTCAATACTCGTTTCCTTTATAATTCTGAACAGTTGTCTACTGTTACCTAACTCTGCTGCATTTTCCGTCTCTTCTGCTTTCTCTACGCGCCACGATCACTGCGTAGGTTATCTATCAGCCTATATCTAAGCTGCCTCCGCTTCTGATATTTTTGGGAGTCAGACGGGTTGCGCCTGCTCATCTTTTGGTTCCGTAGACACTGTTGAAATCCACTGGTTTTGCTCAACCGATCAATCGGTAGGAGCATAGTTAGAGATAAAAAAAGGTTTATGTATCGGCTAGAATACTACCCCGATGCCCAGACAGAAGCAGGGGGTTTCCTTAGGGGACACTCCTCAAGCCTTTGGCCTAAAGGTTCAATCCACAAGACAGTGGAGTAATGTTAGGGGATGAGGTCTTATAGTTGCTGATGACTGAGAATATGTTTATACGCCATTCGATCAATCAAAATCCTGAAGCACATGTGAACAATTGGTTTGTGATCAATATTTTCCAACTCCCCTGGATCTTTCCTTTGCACAAGCCCGGTTCGAGTACCTGAAATTCACTTTTCCCCTTCTCAAATCTGTAAACAACACCGCTTAGAGAAGGGAGTGAGTAGGACTTCTCTATTAGTGGCTATATAAGCGTGGTCATATGAGGCCACTTCAAGAGGGGAAGCAAAAATTTCCAATATTAAACAGTACCACGAAATCTGGGTACTTATAAACACATTTTCAGACATTAAGCCGCTTATATCAATAGGTCGTTTTGTATATTTACATTTTATTTGTTCATTACAGTCCATTCTAAATTTGTAATTATTTTGAATATCTATATAAATTGTTCAAGATAGAAATAGGTCTAGAATTTTATGTTGACCTAACAATGTTTACTCAAGTTCACATAAACATTAGATCCTTCATTACAACCCTAGAAACGAATGTCAGAGATAGGAGATTTCATAATGCATTCACCACACAAATTCATTAAGTCTTCATCAATGTATACATGAATAAGGCAAAACGTCAAAAAGGTTTTTCACTCTTCAAACCATAACTGCGGATGAAAATCACGTTTCTTCTTACTATATTCAACAAGTTATTAAAATTGTTGATCTTACTGGTTTATATATTGAAAGGTGATGTTTCCCATATACTGTTTAAGAATGGTAGTTATGTTTTAAGGATTACATAAAATTCACCTGTATTTGAGAGATCTATCCATAGCTCTACCAGATGATTTACAACATCAAATCGATATCTAGATTTTAATTTTAAATTAGCCATCATACTATATCCTAGAGAAATTTGTGATAGTTAGGAGTATTTGAATCATAGTACAAACTAGGAATCCTAGAAATAACGCAATTCAAGCCACAAACGAACGTAGTGTATTTGGAATTCGAAATCAGGCAGTCATCAAGTACAAAGGGAACATTAGTTCATGCAAACACCACGAAATCTCATGTTCATCTTGTATGGTATTTGTATTCTCCCTGATATGAAATTTAAATAATTGATGATTTTAAGAAATATGAGATCTACTTAGCGTAAGATAATAAACTGTTGCTCTGTAGTATAAATCTTAAATTTTCTTAAACCTTACCTAATGTTCTTCGTGTTTGTAATAGTGAAACAAGTAAGGAGAATCAATCAGCTCATTAACAGTGACGATATAAATTCGATTACAAAATTGCTTATTCACAGTATTTTCGATGACAGAAGCACTCAGATAGCATCCAATATAAAAATATGCTTCTTTATTATGTAATCATTTTTAATCACTACTTAACTTGAAATTAATCTCATAAAAGGTATATCCTTATACATCTTCCAGAAAACGTGCCCACTTGTATAACACAATACTTAACAGTATAAATAATTTAGGATTATTTTTGAACACGATTTAATTAATTGGTAAGATAATTAGTTCATGCTTACATAACCTTCTTATTCATAATGAACGTACTTGTAGTGATAATGATGTATCTAAGGTGTTTACCTCCAGTTTCAGCCATTAGAAGAAAAGTTTATGAATTTATTAAATTATATGACGAAATATAGATAAGTCTCTAATATTCTGCCTTCTACATTTAGTAATTCGCTGTTAAAAGTCCAAAATACATATAGAATATTTTTTAAATTTAGGTTCGTACAGCTAATTATAATGCTGTTTAATGAAAATTTCCTGTATTACTGGACGTTTTTAGAGATACCTGAGTATTTTTTTAACCTGCCTTACCATGGTTTCATTTTGAATATTAAATTTTTCATAACAAGATATTTTTTGTTTGGTGAATAAAGTCAACATACGCTGATAATTATCATGTGCTCACTAGTAACCAGCCTCAAGGAGTAATTCTTAGCGTTCTAGTGAGAAGCCTAGACCAGTGGAGTTCAGCCGTATCGAGTGTGACGCAGTTATCCACCAAAGACCATGGAAGATGGCCGCTCAATATCGTGAATTGGTTGGAGTTGGACATTGACACCGTTAGGTGCCGGCCCATTGGTCTAAAGGTTGAGTGTTTGCATAAGACCGGATATCGAAGCAACACCTACAGATGTTGATATGAATGTCACTCCACCAACAATCGAAGGATTCAGGATGGTCATCAAACAAATCAAGAGTGGGAAAGCATCTCGACCTGACAATATATCAGCTGAAACACTGAAGTCAGACATAGAAGTAACAACAAAGATACTCCACATTCTATTCTGGGAGATTTAGGAGGAAGAACATGTGTCAAAAACAGACTTGAAGGAAGGATACCTCATTAAGATACTAAAGAAAGGAGATCTGAGTAATTATGAGAACTGCCGAGGCATCACACAACTATCAGTACCAGGAAAGGTTTTCAACAGAGTGTTACTGAACCAGATAGAAGACTGATCAGACGCCGAACTTCGAGATCAGCAGTCTGGATTCTGTAAGGTTCAGTCGTGTACAGACCAAAGATGACACTACGGATCATCGTAGAACAATCAATTGAATGGAACTCGTCACTATACATCAACTTCCTTGATTATGAGAGAGCATTTGACAATGTGGTTAGGAGAATATTATGGAAACTTCCTCGATACTATGGGGTGCCTGAGAAAATCATCAGCATCTTCTGGAATTCATATGTCAGACTACAGTGCATGGAGGACAGTTGACAGATGCATTTCAAGTAGGTGCCGGAGTCAGACAAGACTGTCTACTCTTTTCCTTCTTCTGATGGTTGACTGAATTATGAAGACCTCGACATCTGAGGGAAAGCACGGGATACAATGGACAGCTCGGAATAAGTTAGAAGATTTGGACTTCACAGATGACCTGATCCTTCTATCCCATACATCTGAACAAATACAGATGAAGAAAACTAGTGTAGCACTAGCCTCTGGATCAGTAGGCCTCAACATACACAATGGAAAAACCAAGATCCTCAAATACAACACGGAGAACACTAATCAAATTAATGACACTTGATGGAGAAACTCAGGAATAAGTGTAAAGTTTAAAGTATCTGAGTAGCATCATCAATGAACGTGGAGGATCTGTTGCAGACGTAAATGTGGGGATTGGCACGCAAGGATAGTATTCCTACAATTGAAAAATATATTGGACTCAAAACGACTTTTAGTCCTCATTAGAGTCAGAATCTCCAATACGAACGTCAAGACAGTTTTACTGTATGGAGCTGAAACGTGGAGAAATACTATAACCATTACCAAAAACGCATGTAGTGGCTTAGCTTCGTTAATCAATCAACTTGATAACCGTTAATATATTTATTCCAACGGTGTTTGAAATCAGATGGCAATAAGAAGCGGTGATTACAGTTTATTAGCGGATAACACTGATAACAAAGCTGCAAACACATAGAGAGGATTTAAAGCAGATAGGCGAATGTGTGTATGGAGGCGAATACTGAGGCGAATTTATAGTCAAATCGAATCAAGGCACAGATAGGAAAGGCAAAGGCTAATAATAAGATTCGAGTACACATATACGTGGAGAAGAGAATAATTTATCGAGTGATATTCAAGCTATCAACATTTAAGCTAGAGAGAGATATGCGTAGGCTTTCATTTGATCAGGAGTAAACGTTTACACAGACTAGATAGTGATCATAATAGTACATAGAAATAGACGAGTTGCTACTGCTCAAATAACATTTTCTGTTAAGTTAATAAAAGGGCTTAACAAAATTTAACCATAACCGAAATCGATTATAGGAGAGTGGCAATAAACACGGGTATTTAAAAATAATTGTCTACGCAAGATACTCAATGTCCGTTGATCGGATACCGTAAGCATGGGCCTACTATGGGAGAAAACGAAGCAACTTCAAGTTGAAGAGGAAACTAAGAGAAGATATTGGAAGTGGATAAGACACATATTCAGAAAATCACCAAACTGCATCACGAGGCAAGCGCTAACTTTTAAATCTGAAGGGAAACGAAAAAGAGGAAGGCCAAAGAATACACTGCATCGGGAATTGGTAGCAGACATGTAAGGGATGAATAGTAACTGAAAAGAACTGGAAAGGATTGCTCAGAATAGATTTGAATGGAGAATACTGGTGTGCGGCCTATGCTCCTCGAGGAGGGGTAACAGGCATA